GGGGGGGGGGGGAAGGACGTGAAGACAGCAGGCGTGGGGGGGAGAGCGGGAGGGCTTTCTCTGGCATCATGGTTTGTACTTCTTTTATAATAAAAAAATAATTTGGCTCCATCTGGTTTCTGAAGGCACCGCAGATGTTTTGTGGCCTGGCCCCCAGCCTCTGGGAGGCCCCGGGTGGCGGCTGGGGAGGCAGCGAGGTTCGCCCCGAAACCCCCGCCCACTGGCACCGCTCTGTGACCTTGGTCTCTTGTCCCCTTGTTTTCGTGGTGATTTACACGCTTGTCTTATCTCCTAAATGTCAGGGCCAGTGTCTGATTCATGCCGCGCCTCCCACACTGCTTGGCACATGGGAGAGCTTCAGCACACCCTCTGCGGAGCTAGCTGCGACTCAGTTCCCCTCAAAGGCTGGAATCTGGGATAGATGAGAGGAGTCACGGCGTTTTCCCCCTTCCTTTCTCCCCACGGTGCCTAGGATGGCAGCTTGACCATTACCAACCTGCCACCTCCCTCTCCATCTTCCCCCCCAGGCCAGAAGGCAGACACCCCTCTGGCTCCACAGACTTGTCCCTCTCTGGACCTCATCAGTTTCCCCTCCTGGGAAGTAACGCCAGGTCAAGGTCGGAGCAAGGCAGGCAAGCCCTGGTCCAGGTTGGGGCAAGAAGTGTGTTCTTTGTCTTGGGGACACAAAGCCCCATTTGTGATCGCCGGGCACGAATGGAGGCAGGGAGCCACGTGGGGCAGGAGGCAGCGGTGAAACCCCCTCCTGCAGGCTGGCTGCCCAGGAAGCCGGGCGGTAAATCCCCTCCTCCCACGGCCTGAAGACAGGGTGCCTGTCAGTCTGTACCCCGCTTCCGCCTTCCTCAGCCCTCTCCCCCACAGTTCCCCCCCTCTCTGCACACACGGGTGCCTTGGAATGGAGAAGCAGGAAGGGGGAAGCCACCCAAGCCTGAGACTTAGGGGTGGGGGTGGGGAGAGTGGATATTTCCAGAGCTTGTGGATTTGGGGCCAAGGGCAAGGCTCCCTGAGAAGCTGTGTCCTCTTGTCATTCAGCAGCCCTTCCCCACCCATCCCCCAGGACCTGGGGACAGGGACAGGTGGAGGCTGGGACCTCAGCCTCGGCAGTGTGGCCGGGAGCACCAACAGGACTTGGGAACGTTTAACGAGTGTTGTTCATCCATGCTCTGGAATGCTACTTAGCAATCAAAAGGAACAAACAGGTACACGTAGCAACGAGGATGGCTCTGGGGGAAATGAAACTGAGCGAAAACAGCCAGTCTCCGAAAGGTTCCAATTATATAACATCCTTGATGTGCTAAAACCACACAGGCGACAACAGATGAATGGTTGCCAGGGGTCAGGGAGGCGGGAGGGGGGAGCTGGTTGTAGCTACACATGGGTGGCAGGAGGGATCTTTGAGATGAATGTTTCGTATCTTGACTGTGGTGATTACCAGCATCTACACGTGATAAAATTGCCCAGAACTAAATACACAGTCGTACAAATGAGTGTGTGTGAAACTGTGAAATCTGAATAAAGTCAATGGATTGTATCCATGCCAGTTTCCTGGTTGTGATAGTGTTTGGTTGTGCAAGGTGTCGCCATTGAGGGAAAGGGCATGGCACCTCTCTGTGTTGTTTCTTAAACTGCAGGTGAATCTACAATGATCTCAGAATCAAAAAAGTAATTCACATAGCTACACATCCATCAGGATGACTGAAAAACCGGCAAGACCAACTCCTGGCGAGGCCATGGAGCCATCAGAGCTCTTTTCCATTGCTAGTGTGAATATCAAAATGGTAACCCACCTTGCGAAACAGTTTTGTTTTGTTTTGTTTTTTAAAAAAGGTATTTTGTAGTTGTTGTTTTGTTTTTTATTGATTTCAGAGGGAGGAAGGGAAAGGGAGAGAGAGAGAAACATCAAGGATGAGAGAGAAAGCCATTCCCGGCAAAGGAGGCGGACTGTCAAAGGACTGGAACGAGGTAGGCCCTCGGCACCTTGCCAGGAGTACAGGACCCCACCCAAGCCTGGCAAACAGTGGGCGCCCAATAATAGCAGACATCTGAGCACAGAACCCGCTAGTGAGGCTCCATCCCACCCAGCCAGGAGAGGCTCCACCAGACACGGGTCACCAAGAGGGGTAAATTCCTGGCCGAGGGACCCACGTCCTCTCGTCTGGCACCCCAGTTTAGACTGGGAGTTCAGCCTCCTCCGGAAGGGGCAGAGGCTTCACCCTTCCCAACAGCCCCCTCCCCCTCCAGGCAGTGGAATGTTGTGTCTGCGGTTGCCCGGGCAACCAGGGCCTGCTTGGTGGCTGCCCTCTGGGAGCAGCGACTGTACCGTGGCACTGCCCACCGTCAGCAGAACTCCAGCCAGGTGGAGGGACAGCCCAAGCAATCGCCAGGAGAATGGCGGTGTCCTGGGAGGAGTATTTCCAACTGGCCTCGCAAGAGAAGCTGCCTACGTGAGTGGCGCTGGGTGGCAGGGAGGGGCCGGCCAGAAGGAGGGCAGAAGGGGGTGGTGGGGTGGCCCATCCTTTCCCCCACCCCTGGATCCTGGCTCCCCTCGGACTGTTCATGGTGGGAGATTATTGCCCCCATTTCACAGACAAAAACATCCAAGGCTCAGAAAGAACCAGCGACTTCCCCGAGGGCTCAGGGCTAGTTGCAGCAGAGCTGGTCAATAGCCCAGGTCTCTAACCTGCTCTTGATTCCCACCCCCAGCTGACACCCAGCTGAGATGAAATCGTTTGAATCGGGTGGGAAGGGGTTATTCTATGATCTGTCCCCTATGCCTGGAAACTGCATTTTAAAGGAAGGGTGGAGGAAGCTTGTCCCATGCCAGCTTTGTGTTCAGTAGAGTGACTGAGGGTCCCAACCATAGTCTTAGAATCTGAAAATGGCAGGGTTTCCCCACAACCAGAGCCGACCCTATGGGGCTGCCTCCTGGACCCTCCCCCGGAGGTCTAACAGGTGTCTTCAACCTCAACTTGGCCATGGCAAGGAGCTGATCTCCCCTGACCCCCCCCCCC